CTTGCTCCTGGGTGTACATTCAGAACAACTGGGGAATTTTTAAAACATACTGTGGCCAGACATTGGAATTTTGTTTCCATAGCTCCCAGCCCTCCTCACATTTTAGGATTCTTACCAGGTACCTACCATTTGTCTTATTAGAGATGACCTAGTTCAAAAGCTTGTGTGACAGAAGAAACTGAGCCCCAGAGGAAAGTGCCTTAGGTCACAGTGATTCAATGGTAGAGCCACAGAACACAGGTCTTTTACCTCCTAGGCTGGTGCTGTGACTGTGTCACATGGATATGCTAGTTGGAGAGTAACCTGATAACTATCTACCAAATTAAGTGCACAAACCCTTTGACCCTGCAGTCCTGCCTTGGGAACAACTCATTTATGCTCATATAAGGTTCAAAGATGTAGATTGACTGTAGCACCATCTAATAACAAAAAACAAAACCCAAAAAACCCTAAATGTCCACTAAGAGAGGAAAGGTGATGTCACCCATGATTTATCCATGCCACAGAATGCTATGCAAATTCATCAAATGAAAAAAGCAAGATGCATGTGTAACTGATCCCATGTGTTAAATATAGGTGCTTGCATGTGCTTATATAAGGAGTTTTTGTTTTTGTTTTTTTGAGTTGGATTCTCTGTCGCCCAGGCTGGAGTGCCGTGGCACACTCACAGCCACCGCAACCCTGACTTCCTGGGCTCAGGCGATCCTTCCACTTCAGCCTTCCAAGTAGCTGGAACCACAGGCATGCACCACCATGCCCAGCTGTTTTTTTTACTTACTGTGGAGACGGGTCTTGCCATGTTGCTCAGGTTGATCTTGAACCCCTGAGCTCAGGTAATCCTCTCACCTCAGCCTCCCAAATTGCTGGGATTACAGGCGTGAGCCACTGCACACGGCTAATATAAGGAGCTTAGTAGTGTTACCTCTTGTGGTTGGAGAACTTTTTTTTTTCACTTGGATATACTGTGGTAGTAAAAAGAAAACCCAGATACTTATTTCCATGTCTGTTGGCCTCTGGAAAGGGGCTGGCAAAGAGGCCTTGCCTCCTGCCTCTGGCTTCTGAGGCTCCAGCCTGGGGTTGCGGTCCGCAGTGCAGGCAAAGCCCCCATTAACAGAGTGGTCCTGCTGCTTCTCTAGGTGCACCCCGACATTGGCATCTCTGCCAAGGCCATGAGTATCATGAACTCGTTTGTGTATGATGTGTTAGAGCTGATGGCCGGTGAGGCGGCCAGGCTGGCCCAGCATATGGGCCAGACCACCCTGACCTCCTGGGAAGTCCAGACAACTGTGTGTCTGCTGCTGCCTGGGAAGCTGGCCAAGCACACTGTGTCATAGGGCACCAAAGTTGTCACCAAGTACACCAGCTCCAAGCGACCCAGGGCCTGACATAAATAAAGGGTGAACTGTTCTGGCACACTGGTGATTTGAAAGAGGGGCACCTGAAGCTGGGGTGTGGTCTGAGGCAAGGGTATCTTCACTTTGTGAGGCTACCACAGGTAATATGAGTAATATACTGATACTTTTTAGAAACTGCTTTCTGGGTGTATCCCATGAGCAACATGTGATAATGCTTTGTGATTGTACAAATGCTCTAATTGGTAGTGAACTGAAGCAGGACTTGGGACTTGGATTAAAGTCCTAGATTTACTACTGCCATCTGTTTCCCTCTCTGGGTCGGAAATTCCTCGTGTGTGTTACTCTTTCAGGCTGTGGTTTTGTGATGCCATTTCCCACCAACTGTCATTGTGTCCTGTATGACAGCTACTGTGCTGGGTAAAAGGCCTACACTGATCTATTCTTCCAGATACAAAAAGCTGGCCCAGGCCAGCTCCTAAATAACCTGCTGAGACTGTAAGATTTTTTTGTTTTTCCCTTGATTTCAGAACAAATCACTGGGGACTTTTTTTTTTTTTTTTTTTGAGACTCCAACTCAAAAAAAAAAAAAAAAAAATCAAAACCCACAGGAAAATGGCCAGAAAGTAAAGTACCACAGCCTACACCTAGATTTACCACTTACCATCTGACCACCCATTTTTTTTTTTTGAGTCGGAGTCTCACTTCGTCTCCCAGGCCGGAGTGCAGTGGCACCTCATGGTCACCCCAGCGTCGACCTTCTGGGCTCCAGCGATCCTTCCGTCTCAGCCTTCCAAGTAGCAGAAACTACAGGTGCGCACTAACATGCCTGGCTGATTTTTGATTTATTGTAGAGAGGAGGTCTCGCCAAGTTGCCCGGGCTGGTCTCGAACCCGCGGGCCCAGGCAATCCACTTGCCTTGGCCTCCCAAAGTGCTGGGGTTACAGGCTGAGCCACCAAACCAGGCCCACACGCTTTTTAAAAAAATCAGAGTTTGACTCTGTTGCCCAGTTGGAGTGCACGCTCATGGCCACTGCAGTCTTGACCTGCTGGGCTCAGGCAATCCTTCCACCACAGCCTCCCAAGTAGCTGGAACTACAGGCCTGTGCCAGCACACCTGGCTAATTTTTTTTTTAAATTTACTGTAGACATGAGTTCTTGTCAAGCTGCCCAGGTTAGTCTTGAGCCCCTGGGCTCAGGTAATCCTCTGGCCTCTGCCTCCCAAAGTGCTGGGATTAAAGGCATGAGCCATCATGCCCAGCTATCTGACCACAGTTGCCTTTTCTCTATTGTGGAGGAATATGAGGTTCTGTTAGGCCAGCATCGATTGGGTAAAATATATAAACAAAAGGGACCCCGAGATAAAGATCTACAAAGAAACTTATTGATAACAGCAAGGAGCTGTAAAAGCTAATTAGCCATTGTGTCCAGGGTCTCATTTTCTTTCACATCCCCCACATAGACTCTGTTTAATCTTGTGGGCACATGACCCTTACATTCACTTCCAAGTCCGGAAGGGTGGAGTGCAGGGGTGGGATTTAGACAGATCTCAAATCCTCCTTTATGTTCCCTGTATTCTCTTTGTAATTGTGTGTTTGTTTTTTTTTTGAGTTGGGGTTTCACTCTGTCGCCCAGACTGGAGTGCAGCGGCTGCTCCCACCCACCGTAGCCTCGAACTGCTGGGCTCCAGAGAACCTTCCGCCTCAGCCTTCCGAGTAGCTGGAACTACAGGCGCGCGCTACCACGCCCGGCTAATTTTTTGATTTATTGTAGAGATGAGGTCTTGCCAAGTTACCCAGGCGGGTCTCGAAACCGCGGGCTCAGGCAATCCACTCACCTCGGCCTCCCAAAGTGCGGGATCACAGGCCGAGCCACCGAGCCCGGCTGGACTCTGTAATTGTACTGTCACCTTCAACTTCCTGTACTGAAAAGGCATCACCTTTATTTAATAATGGCTGACCTCTGGCTGCATTGCTACATATGAGGGGGGACCCCAAAATACCCGGAATGTAATTTATAAAAATCTGTGCATTTATTCTTACAGCTTAAACTTCAGTCACCTTCAAAGTACTCTCCATTTGATGCAGTAAACCTGTTGAGATGCTTTTCCCACTGCTCAAAACAATTTTTGAACTCATCAATTTTGATGCCATTCTACTGTTTTTTGTTTTACCTTTGAGGATGTTTTTCATCCAGGGAAACAAATGTTGGTTGGGGCAAGAAGGGAGGATGGGGTACGGGGATCGTACCATTTTTGGTAAAAACTGCTGAACACTCAGCACAGTGTGGGCAGGTGCTCTCATAAATCACTCATCATGAAATGGCAAACATGTTGAAGGACTCTCAAAAGAAAAATTTTCACTGAAGCAGACCACAGCCTCTCACAACAACACTAGCCGGTACACTAATGCCAATGGGTTCTAGAACACTGACCTAGTGGGGGAAGCCTGTACTACAAGGGGCCTGCCCTCCAAAAACTAATTACAGTTTTTTGGGGTCCCTCCTCGTACATCACATGAATTCTCTCATACCACAAGCCTCACATGGAAATTCCATGAGCTTGGAGCTAATGATCCACATTTGGGTCCAAATCTAGCCAGCGACAGGCCAGAAGATCTGGCCTCTAGTCTCACTGCCACCTAATCCAGCTCTGTGCTTGCCACTTAAGGGGTGAGTCATAGGCCGGGAACACCCGGGCACTTGTTAGAACTGCAGACTTTTGGGCCCTTCCTCAGATCCAGAGTGGAATCCGCATTCTAACAAGATTCTGGGGTAGTTCGTAACATACTAAGTTTGAGAATTCCTCTTCCTCTTTGCTCCTCCCCCTTTTCTGTTCCTCACACATGTATCTATTCATAGGCCCCGACTTAACATTGAGCCAAAAAACTCATCCCAGCAGACCAGTGTCAAGCTGCTGCTGATATAGCATTTTGTATTTTCCAACAAATAGTTTTCTGAGCCTGTAGCAATGATGGGGGAATAGCCCCAAACACCACTGGGCAGCATCCACCACACTTTCTAGCATAATCCGTGACACAGATCTAGCTCACATGAACCATGTGAGCTCTCAGCAGACCACAGTGAGGCAGGCCTGGTCGTGCTCACCTTCGCACATGGGGGCAAGTTGGGACATCAGGACCTTCTGACCCCAAATCCAGTGCCCTTCCTCCTCCACCCACAGGCCACTCAGTGCAGTTATAAACAGCGTAAAGGTCAGGTTTTATCACATAGGAGGCTGAGGCTGGATTAAGGAACAGAGTTTTCTCTGGATGAGAAGTTGCAGTTATGCCTTATTATGGAATAACGCCCCTAGGACAAATGTGTATATCCAAATCTTCACCACTTACAGGTGATGTTTGTAGAGATGCTTTATTTGATCGCCACATGAAAAACAGCCACAGATGACCCCACATTCTACCCTAACCTTCCAAAGTTTGTTATGTGAGAGCCTGCAACCATCACCCTCCCATCCTGTGTGTGCTTCCAGGACGTCCTCCAAGACAAGTGACCCCAATCCTGCACCCTCCCGCCTCCTCTCCTCAGCTCTAGAATGTTAAGTACAATGGGTCAGAACTCTTAAAATCAGGCTGTTCTGCCATCTGGCTTTGGGGAGTGGAATCAGGGATCCCATGACCAGCTCACAGAGGCACAAAGGGCAGCGTGAGGAGTGGACACCATGTCTGAGGGGTGAGTGAAGGGCTACAGTAGAGCCCCTGGGCTGGGAGAGCAAAGAGCAAAGCACTCCCAGTCCTGAGAGGCTGAGGCAAGATTGGAACTTTTGGTGTGGGCCAGCCTGGCTGGGTCCCAGACGTTCACAGCTCCCTGGCTGCTCCAGGCTGTGGCAGCTTTCACTCTGCAGACTTCCCTTGGACTGTTCATTTCAGAATCAGGGCTCTGCTCTGGGCAAGAGACTCCTCTCCAAACTCACCCCTCCCCCCACTCTCCAACCAGTCCAGAACATCAGACTCTTGCCTGGAGGGACTCACTGCCCGGGACTCCAAAAGATCCTTTCCTTAATTTTTTTTTCTTTTCATTATAGGCCATTTTAAGGGTTTATTTTTTATCTATTTTTGAGTGGGGGGTCTCACTCTGTTGCCCAGACTGGAGTGCAGTGGTATAATCTCGGCTCACTGCAGCCTGGACTTCATGGACTCAGGCAATCCTTTATGCCTCAGCCTTTTGAGTAGCTGGGACTACAGGTAAATGCCTCCATGCCCGGCTAGATTTTTTTTTTTTTTTTTTTTAGTCAGAGTCTCACTCTGCTGCCCACTTTGGAGTGCAGTGGCATGCTCACGGCCACCACAGCCTTGATCTGCTGGGCTCACGTGATCCCTTCCGCCTCAGCCTTCCAAGTAGTTGGAACCACAGGCATGCACCACCACACCCGGCTAATTTTTTGATTTCTTGTAGAAATGAGGTCTCGCCATGTTGCCCAGGCTGGTCCTGAACCCGTGGACTTAGGCAATCCTCTCGCCTCCGCCTCCCAAAGTCGTGGGATTACAGGCGTGAGCCACCGCTCCCGGCCAAAAGATCCCTTCCTTACCGGAGTCCCAAGCCCTGGCTGTCTCCCTCCCTGACCCCTAAAGGGCATGTCCATTCATTCTCCTTGCTAATCCATCGGCGGACCCCAATCTCACACCCTCTCTCAGCCTGGGCTGGCACCCATTGATTCCCCTGTGGGCCCCTCACGTCACTGAACTCCATTTTGGCGGCCATGAGGAACATCCCACCTCCTAGAAACCCGGGCTCACACTCAAAAGGTTCGGCGGCTCGGTCTCCCCTCTCCTCCGTGGTTCAAGTCACGCTGCCTTTCCTCCAGAACCTGCCAGCGCCTCTGGGAGTCCTCCCACGTGGCCTTGCGAGAACTGCTGGACCGAGAGCAGCCCCTGCTCGAACCCGTGCCCGAGCGGGAGCGGCCGTCCTTCCAGTACAGGCTCGCGTCGCTCTACCTGCACTACCTGGGGCTGCTGCGCCGGTTCGACACCATCTACGACCAGATGGTGCAGCCGCAGAAGCGACGGCTGCTGCGGCGCCTGCTAGACGGCGTGGCGGGCCGCGTGCTGGAGCTCAAGGACGAGCTGGTACGCGCTGACCTGTGCGAGACCCACTACCTGGACCACGTACTGCAGGATCTCAAGCTCACTCCGGTGCGCCGCCGCCGAGCCCCGCCCCCAGCCAGCTGAGGCGGGGCGCGGGGAGGGAGGCGGGGCGGGGAGGGCCTTGAATGCCGGTACCCACGGGGCCACGCCCCGGCCAGCGAGGGGCGCGGTGGGCGGGGCTGAGGCTGATCTTGGCCGCACTCTCCACCCCGCCACCGCCACCACCACGGACGGCCCTGGAGTTTCGACATCTGCAAGGCAGGGCAGATCAGAGGATGGGGTCTGGCCTTTTGAGAAGGGCTTCAGCAACCCGGGGGGTGCATGGAGGTAGTTGAGAGGTGGGTGGAGAGTTGGGATGGGGCATGGCTGGGAAGACCTAGGAACCGCCGAGGAGTGGTGAGGCGTGTCCTCTAGAGGCTCCTCAAGGTGTGGTCCATGGACCAGCAGCGTTGGCATGACAAAAACAGGAACTCCTGCGGCTTCGCAGACCCATTAAATCTACATCTGCGTTCTAACAAGATCCTCAGGTGATCTGTGTACATAGGCAAGTTCTAGTAAAGCTATTCTAGAGCACAGAGCTTCTGCAGGTCCTCCAGTGCTGCTCCCTCTCCAAGACTGTCTCAAAGTTTATCCAACCAGCTGCAGCGGTGGACTTGGAAAAAACAGATTTCCCAGGCCCTGCCATTCTGACTTGGTAGTCTGGGCAGGACCTGGGACTCTGCATTTAAGAGATTTCCAGTTGATTCTGATGTACAACCAGGTCAACTCCGGCCAGAGGGTGGGAACAGAGGAAGAGAGCAATGACCCTTGAGAGGATCTGACCCATAACCTGTTAAGTTTTCCACCCCAAAGTTTTAGGATGGAGGTGCTAGGGAGTGTGCGGGCAGCTGAAAATGGTGATGGATCCGCCAGGTGGCCCAGACTTTGATTTCTGACCCTCCTCCCCACATATTACCTCAAAGGCAGACCTGGAGGTTTCAATCCCCAAATACTTCCTGTTGGAGCAGTCCAGTGCTGTGCGGGAGCGAGGGGTGATGCTGGCAGAGATCCTGTCCAGGATGGAGCCGGTGTTCTCCAAGGAGGTAAGTGGGAGAGACAGTCTCCCCAACTCCTCCAATACCCCTTTTCCTGAAAGCCTCCAGGACACAGAGAGGCTCCACCCTGCCCCATACCTGCCTCAGGGTGCTCTAAATTTAGGCAATTCCTGGCCTCCTTTAAGGATGTTCTTGTGTTCATTGTAACCCTCCAACATCAAGACAGGCCTTGGGCGCTTGGATGCTCTGGGAGGATGATGCCCCTAGTGCATGCTTTGGTGGCTGGTCTCCCAGCTGCCCACCCTGGAAGCAAGCTCTCCTTCATGTCCTCCTGCTCTTTTGCCCTTACTCTGGCCAGAGCGCTCCAGGAATGCACCGGACGGAGGCCATAATTCTAGTGCAAAAGGCAGAGCGGGCCAGGCAAGGCCGGCTTCGAGCCACCTTCATGCGAGAGATTCGAAGAGAGGAGGAGCGGGATCGAAGGAGTCGGGAGGACGGGCGGCACAAATTTGGTCAGGACTATGCAGCTGTCACCATACAAAAGGTAACCCTGGGTGCTCGGGAGAAGGATCAGGGTAGAGTCACCTCATCTAGGAAGTCTGCTGGGCTCAGCAATTGATCAAAGGGATGCAGGTGCCTGGAATTCTGTTGTCCCACAACTAGATTCTAAACCAGGGACTTTAATAAGTCAGTAAGTATGTATCTTATTTGTTTACTATTTAATCTACATCTCTATTCCCGCCGGACATGGAGGCTCACGCCTGTAATCCTAGCAATTTGGGAGGCAAAGGTGAGAGGATTGCCTTAGCCCAGAGGTTCGAGACCAGCCTGGGCAACATGGTGAGACCTCGTTTCTACAATAAATCAAAAAATTATCTGGGCGTGGGGGCGCATGCCTGTAGTACCAGCTGCTTGGAAGGCTGAGGTGGAAGGATCACATGAGCCCAGCAGATCGAGGCTGTGGTGGCTGGGAGCGTGCCACTGCACTCCAGCCTGGGCAATAGAGCGAGACTCCGACTCAAAACAAAAAAACAACAACAACAAAAAAATAAAAATGAGCCACTAAAATGTATCCTAATGAGGCCAGAGGATCACTTGAACACTGGGCAACACAGCAAGGACCTGTCTTTAAAAGAAAAAAAAAGATCCTGAGTCTCCTGGCACTGAGGTAAAGGGAAACATGATAATTAGAGTTTGATAACTAATGTGCTACAAGTATCCTAAAGCTCTGTGCCTTCTGGGGTCGCCTTTTAACATGGAAATAACATAATTACATCCCGAACCTGGCCTCACTGCA